AATCGGTTGGTTATTTCGCGTTTTATGAGCTTCATGGATATTCAAAATTTTGACCCTTTGTGGGGGAGGTACCAGAAGAAGTAGACCGATATATTCCATCTTGACACAAGACTTTGGGTAAATAAAAATATTGGTATGTGTGAAATTTGAAGACAATCGGACTCTTACATCACATTTTATAAGAGTCGTAATTATTCAAAATATTGACCCTTTGTGGGGGAGGTACTTGACGGGATAGACCGATATTGTCCATTTTCGCACCTGACCTAGCACTAATGCAAATATTAGGATTTGCAAAGTTGGAGCAAAATCGAATTATCATTTCTCGAATTATAGAAATTTCGAACTTTTGTAGTGGAGGTACCAGAAGGAGTGGACCGATATATTCCATCTTAATACCAGTCCTTGGGTTAATAAAAATATTGGGATGTGTGCAATTTAAAATTATTCGGACTCTTAAATCAGGTACTTGACGGGCTAGACCGATATTGTCCATTTTCGCATCTGACCTAGCTGACCTATTGGTTTTGCAAAATTGGAGCAAAATCTGTGCAGGAAATATATTTTTTGGAAATTTCGAACATTTCTAGTGGAGGAGTGGACTGATATAGCCCCTATCCGAACTCGGTCCAAGTTTGACAAAAATATTACGATGTAGCAAGCTTGGACCAAATCGGACAGCCAGACAGACGGCCAGACATCGTTAGATCAACTCTAAATGTCCTGAAACGAATTTAGTGCAAAGAGACCTAGAGTCTGGCCGTATCAAATGATATATACCCTCTGTAGCCATATGGCTGAGGGTATAAATATAGGTAGTTTTAGGCAAATATTAAAACTTATTGAGATTGTGTGGTGATTTTTTAAATCTTTCTGTGAAATACAATACATAATATAATATTTAACTGGCATGAATATTAGTAAAACCATTACATAGTGAACCCATGAAGAATATTAGTAAAACCATTACATAGTGAACCCATGACCATTTTTTCTGCCCGAAACTGTATCAATGTCTCCATATGTAATCCAGAGAAACAACAGTGACCTCAATATCAAATTTCAGTTCTACCCTTTACCCAATACAAAATTTAGTAACATTTCCAAAAATACCAGAGTACCAAATTTAGCACCATTTAGTATAATTATAGTACGGATATTTAAAACCAAATCAATCTCTCAACCATAGATACCAACAGTAACACCCATATCAAATTCCAGGATTCCAGCTCTATATCTTCACCCAATACCAAATTTAGTAGTTGTAGTATTTGTAGTACACATTTCCAAAACCACCTCCATATCTCAATTCTAGATACCAATAGAGAACTTAACTTCAAATTTCAGCCCTTTAATTTTCCCCATTACCAAATCCAGTACCATTTAGTACAATTATAGTACGAATATCCAAACCACCTCCATATGTTAACCATAGACACCTACCGAGACCTGAATATCAACTTTCGGAATTTCAGCCCTATATCTTCACCCAATACCCAATTTAGGATTAATTAGAACTTTTCGAACAATTATAATCCATATTTCCAAAACTACCTCCATATCATAACCACAGAACCAACAGTGGCATCTACATCAATTTTCAGAAGTTCAGCTCTATTCCTTCACCCAATACAAAATTTAGTACTATTTAGTAAATTTTGTACAAATATAGGAAACGTTTCCAAACTACCGCCAAATCTCAATCACAGATACCACCAGTAATGTAAATATCAAGTTTCAGAATCTAATCTCTTTTCCCGCCGTCCAATATCAAGTATAGTACCATACAGTACTTTTCGTATAATTATAGTACACATTTCCGAAACAACCCCCATATGTCCAGGCTACACGTGAGCAGTGACCCCAATGCCAAATTTGAGATAGATGGATACTGTTTTACCTATATGTTCACTCAATGCCGTATTGTACCAAATTCAGTGCTATTTAGTACTTTTCGTAAATTTGTTGCACACATTTCCAAAATCACCTCTTAATTGTAAACATATCACCAACAGGAACCCCCATACAATATTTTAAAATTCCAGCTTCAACCGTTCACCCTAAACCAAACCGATCCAAATTTGGTACAGATCGCAAAGTTTCCCAAACCACCTTCATATGTCAAACTTACTTTTCAACCTTGATTTTCACCCCAAATTTTAAGTTATTGGCTCTATATTTTCACAATATCAAATGAAGTTTTTAGAAGTTTAGTACAATTTTAGAACTTTTCGAAACCATAAAGTTTAGATTTCCACAAACTCTTTGATACATATATACTGCACTCCAACAGAGACTCTCATACCAAATTTCACAGTTTTAGCTCATTCCGTTTGTCCAATACAAAATAATCAATTTTTAGTAAATTTTAGTGTTTTTCGTACCCTTAGTACGAAATTACTAAAACCTAGCCGTATCACAGGCCTACACACCAAAACTGAAACTTGAGCAAAAATTCAAGATTCCAAAGACAGTTAACAGTTCCATGAATGTTTTTTTTTTTTTTTTTTGTATTTTCCATTTTTTAATGAACATTTTGAATTTGGGTTACTAGTACAATTTATTAAGATTATTTCATTTGTATTCCATGAATTCAAATTCGAAATTTTATAAATTTATTTAAATCGCTTAAAAACCAATGACAGTTTTGCACTACTAAATCGGTTTTTCGTATTGGAATTACAAACTTACTATTGGTTTAAGCCGCCAACGATTTTTGTTTATTCGTATTTATTTTTTGTGTAAAATGTTCATTTGGTGCCAGCCAAAGATTAAAAACCAACAAAGTTGGTGCAGCTGACAAACGGAATAACAAAAAACAAGTGAGAAAACGCAATGCAAAACAAAAATAAACGATCCAGGAATATAAACACTGCTCTCTGGCCTAGCTGGAGCATTCTAACAAATCCATACTCGCCAACACACACACACACACAAAACGAATGTAAAACGCAAAGCAACATCTATCGACCATAAATTTGGATTATTTTATCCTGCAGGACATTAAGTAAGGATATGACAAATTTATCGCAATAGCGCCATTTGTTTATTGCAAACAGTTGCAAAAATCCTCGAACGCAATAAAAAGAGCGGCATGCACCAAAGAGAATATAGCACGGCACATGGGTCAGGCTGGACAAACTACATATCGAAATGATGGCTTTGCGGAGTGTGTTGAGGTAGGTGGGGGCTGAGGTATTGACGATATTTATTTTGTTTTCATTGTTGGTTTAGTGTGCCACACAAATGTTACCACAAATTGATGATGAATTTTTGTGAACAAAATGCAGGTCGCATTTATTATCCGATGGATATGGAATTTTCCAAACAATATTTGTTTGGCCCAAGAACGAACCCTATAAATTGGTGAAAATCGGTTCAAATTTAGATATAGCTCCCATATATTCAACTTATCAGTCCAAATGGACTGAATTTTGGCACATCCGATCGAATTCAGTTTAGAACCAAGTGCAATAAATTTTGGAGAAAATCGGTTCAGATATTGCTATAGCTCCCCTGTATATGTTTCATTTGATTTGAAGTTTTAAGGCCATCTTGCACTACACAATAATGATATTTGGTACCAGATATCATATACAGACCAGAAATATCTGTCAAATTTTATCGAGATCGAATCAGATTTGGATATATCTTCTATATATATCTTTATCCGATATCACATTTGTTGTGCACCAAATATCAGTCCAAATGACCTGATTTTTGGCACATCCGACCAAATTCAGTCTAGAAGCAAGAACATTAAATTTAGTTAAATCGGTATAGATACAGCTTAAGCTCCCATATATATGTTTCATCCGATTTGGGGTTTTAAGTCCCTCACATCCGTAATATGCCCTTCACAACAATGAGATTTGGTACCATATAACTTATGGAGCTCAAAAACACCTCTGTCAAATTTTATCGACATCGGATTAGACTAAGTTATAGCCTCCATATATATATCTTTACCCAATATCAAGTTTATTGTGCACCAAATGGCTAATATCAGCCCAAATTTTGTCTCTTCCGGCGGAATTCAGTCTAAAAGCAAGTGCTTGAAATTTTGGTGGAAACCGCTTTAGATATAACTTCCATACATATGCCCTCCACAACAATAATATTTGATACCGGACATCAGATACTGTCCCAAAAATCTCTGCCAAATATTATCGAGATCGGTACAGATATGCATCTTCATCCGGTTTTACGGCTATTGCTAACCGTATATGTAATATCAGCCCAAATTGAACAGATTTTTTCATATTCAGCCGAATTTTACCCATTGGTGAGAATCGGTTCGATATATTTATTGATTCAATAAATATTTTCTAATATAATCCTTATTGAAGTCATATCATTTACTATACAGCAATGTTATTTGGTTCATAGTTAGTACGATCTACTTCACATAAATACCCAATATAAAGTTTTTTTTTGGTACGAGAGCTCTACTAAATACGCATAGTGGTGTAGGGTATCATACAGTTGGCCCCGCCCGACTTTTGACCTTTCCTTACTGGATTTTCTATCGGATAATTTAATACTCCTAAAAGTATGCAACACTTTAATTTTAAACGTATAGCTCTGTTCCTTTGCCAATACAGGCTGTAACATTTTTCGTCCACAATTCTCACATAATATAGATTAGGTTCAACGTTTCATAGGTTTCGGTACCTCCCTCTATTAGGACCACAATTTTTACTATCACGATTTTGATAATATAGTTACTGAAATTAAATAAAATACGAATATAAATTGTTTAGTTATCATTGGCTAAGAGAAAACTGTTGTCGTTTTACACTTTTAAATAATAATAATTTAAAATATTCATTTTAAATGAAGTTAAGTTTATCTCAGTGCTGTATTTTTATATTTTGTAAGAAACAAGTTAAAACAGTACTTTTTCATACGTTTTTAATTTATTTTTCTTTAAAGAAATTAGATATTTTTTAACAAAAAGACGAACACAAAATATTAGCATTTATATTTTTTAGAAGCAATTTTTAATTGTTATCTCAAGTTTATTTTTTCATATATCATATTTTAAATGCAAAATTACATTAATGCATACGAGTATAAACTATTTGTTGAAATTTTGTGCTAAGCCCAAAAAGTGATACTTTTATTTTCTCGCCTCATCATAATGTTGAATGTACCAGTCTACGGATGTTTTAATGGCCTCATTGAAATCGGTAAATTTAAAATCTGGTAAAAATGAACGCAATTTCTTATTGGAAGCCGTTTTCTTGTACTGGCCATCTGCCTTCGATGTATCACATTCTAGTTTGCCTTTAAAATTAAAAGCCGCAGCAATGGCTTTTGCCACATCATATATGGTAACTTCTTGCTCTTCGTCTACACTTAAAATGATGGGCTCCACACTCTCGTAGTTTCTCAATACCCATATCATTAGCTTAGCCAAATCAATACTGTAAATAAATTGTCGTAATGGTTTACCCGAACCATATACTGTGAATGTTTTTTCTTCTTCGGCGATTTCTGGATTTTCTTGCATCAATTTATGCATGCGATATATCATACCGGGTATAACATGACTTACAGTCGGTTTGTAATTGTCATTAGGTCCAAATATATTACACGGAATGACTGAAGTGAACATACAACCATATTTATCGTAATAGCCACGATTTTGTATATCAATTAAACGTTTAGCATAGGAATAGCCGTAGTTAGAGGAATGTGGTGGTCCATTGTGTACCATTGTCTCGTCAATGGGATATTTTGTTTTGTCGGGGAAAATACAGGTGCTAAGACAGGAAACAACTTTTTCACATCCGTGTGCGTGGGCGGCTTGTAATACATTGTCATTTATTTGAATATTTACGCGCTGTAAGAGAGATGAAAGTAATATTGTGTCAGAAAGCGCTAGTATTTATTCATAGAATCTCTAAGAAATTGAATTTACATAAAAAATTAATTAAAAATTATTGCTCAATTTTTACTATTCTTTGCTTAAACTTTTGATATGAAGGTTATTTTTCAGATTTCGGAGAGAGAATGTTTTAAGACACAGATTAGAAAAATAGTTATATTTAAATATTTTGACTTTTATGGAATAGCATTGGTTTTTGTTATTTCGTTATTATTCAGGCAGACGTAGAAGCTAGAAGAAAAAAAGATATGTTCATATATCTGAAAAGAAGTCGTTTCAATTTTTAACACAAGAATGTAATATAAATTTTTCCTGAAGAGCTTCTTTGACCAGCAATTCTTGTGATGAAAATAATGTGGGTATTGTTTTCTTTTAAAGTCCCAACCCTTCCAGAAGTGGACATCTTATTCATCGAAATCTTCGTTTGGAACAAAACTACTTTCCTTTTGGTACCCTACACAACATAGTAGTAAGGGTTTTATGTCTTTGTGCATTTGTTTGTAACATGGAGAAGAAAGCGAGATAGACCCAGAGTTACTTTTGAGGATCTTCATAGAATCACTTTCTGAGTCGATTTAAGTATGTCAGTCTGTGTATTTTTGTGAACAAAATACAGGTCACAATTTTTATCCGATGAGATGAAATTTTCCAAATATTATTTGGTTGATCCAGGGACGAACCCTATTGAAATTGGTGAGAATCGTTTCTAATTTAGATATAGCTCTCATATATATCTTCAACCGATTTCGGGTTAATTGTGCATCAAATGGCCAATATCGGTCCAAATGAACTGAGTTTTGGCAATTCCGACTGAACTAATCCCAGAAACAACTGCTTCAATTCCGCAATTCCGACTGAATTCATCCCAGAAACAACTGCTTCAAATTTAGTGAAAATCGGTTCAGATATAGCTATAGCTCCCATATATATGTTTTATCCGATTTGGGATTTTAAGTCCCCCACAAGCACTCCACAAGAAGGATATTTGGTACCAGATAGCTTATGGAGCTCAAAAATACCTCTGTCAAATTGCACTCCACAAGAATGATATTTGGCACCAAATAGCTTATGTAGCTCAAAAATACATCTGTTAAATTTTATAAAGATCGGATCAGATTTGGATATAGCTCCGATTTCGGGTTAATTGAGCACCATATGGCCCATATAAGTCCAAATGACTTGAATTTTGGCTCATCCGACTGAATTTATCAAAAAGATATGTAATTCAAATTTTGGTAAAAGTCGGTTTATATATAGCTATAGTTGCAATATATATGTTGCATCCGATTTGGGATTTTAACTCCCTCACAAGCGTAATAAGCACTCCACAAGAATGATATTTGGTACCAGATATCAGATTTATCTCAGAAATAAGTGCCTAAAATTTTGTCAAGATAGGTTCAGATTTGGATATAGCTACCGTATAAAGATATATCCGATTTCAGCTATATTGTGCACCAAATGGCCCAAATTAACTGAATTTTGGCATTTCCGACGAAATTCATGCTAGAAACAAGTACTTTAAATTCGGTTCAGATATAGCTATAGCTCCATGTATGTTTCATTCGATTTGGTGGTAAGCGTAAAATGCTCTCCATAGTAATGATATTTGGTACAATATACCGTATAGAAACACCAAATGTTATCGGGATCGGTTCAGATTTTTATATACCTTCGATATACATCTTCGTCCGATTTTACGGTTGTTGTTCGCCATATATGTAATATCAGCTCAAATTGGACAGTTTTTTTTTCATATTCACCCAAATTTTTTAGTTGATGAAACTCGGTCCGGTATATAATTGCCCAATAAATGTTTTTAAATATAATTCTTATCGAAGTCATATAATGCACTATACAGCAATGTTATTTGGTACTAGAGGTACAAAAGCCTTCGTCAAATTTATTGAAAGTCAATTCATAGTTGGATATAGTTACCGAATTGTGGCTACTCAAAGACATGATACGCAATCAAATAATGTTCATAGTTGGTATGATCTACTTCACATAAATTCCCAATATAACCTTTTTTTGTTACGGGAACTCTACTAAATATGCATAGTGATGTAGGGTATCATATAGTCGGCCCGGCTGATTTTTTACTTTTCTTACTGGTTAAACTTGTGTCTGTCTTCGTTGGCGTCTATCGTCGCTTAAGTTGGCAGTTATGTTTTGGATTATATCAGCAGCTTCACTTTAACAAATTCCAAAGGAGTTTTATTTTGACAATAATACCCCTGACAACTTCCAAGTAAACCGACTGCCTTTCAACTTCTAAGGGAGAACCTTAGTTGCTCGTCCTTCAAGTCAATAAACACCTAATGCCTCCCAATCGTTACTTCCAGGAAGGATTGATTTGTCGGAATAGAATATCATCCACAAAGTATGGTATATGCAAAAAATGTAACCGAATTTTATTCCATAGTCAAGGACACTCACCAAAAAATCCAAATTATTATTCATATTGTGAAATAGTCCTCCGACCATGGCAGCCAAATGGATAACACAATTGGGCTTTACTCTATCGAATAAAGACCTGGTGGCACTCTCATCGGTTAAGTCACAATCTTTGGAGCCGGCAAAATACCATTCTTCGTCGGCACACTTCTCTTCGGCTATCACATCCTGCAAAGCTTTGCCCACTAATCCAGTGCCACCAGTTACAAGAATTTTTCGCATTTCTGTTCTGTAAAAGGACAATTTATATAAATAATTCTAATACTTTATTGTTTTTATTGTGAGTGCCAACCTCAACAAGTTGTTAAAACAGATGTTTTCAATGTTGTGTCGTTATTGAACGAAGTATTTCAACGGCTCTGTTCAACACAATGAACTGACGGTACTAGCTTCAATTCTTAAGATACATGTAATAGGTAGTGTTCCACATTCGATTACGAAAAAATAAATGAAATGAATGTTAGTATGAAAATTTTAGATTGATTTAATAGTGATTTTTTGATAATAACTAGTAAATATCGAATGTACGATTTGAACACTAGTTGTTTCTCACAATTTTTATTAATCTAACATAAGCACATTTCGATCGAATTGTTTTCGATATCGAATGGAAGAATATTGCCAACAGATTTTCAAAGTCAGACAAAATGTTGATCTTTAAAGTTTTGTATGTTTTGACAATTCGTGCCATGCTATTTGAACAACATGTTAATAGTCCACTTTTTTAAAAATAAAGTAAACAATAAATATATAAAAAGTAAATATGTATTATCGATAACCATAAAATCTTGAATCGATCTAAAGACGTTTGTTTGTTTCTTGAAATCAATATTGGTCTGTTCCAGAACTGCAAGAATGTAAAAGTTTTTACTACGATAACCGATTTTCCCTTTATGATATCAAAGAAAGTTGCAAAGCTATTAGATACTTGCAGGTACTGGAACAGAGCATACACAGGGTGAGATGAAAAAAGTGCAACCAACTTCAGACTGCTGTCATTTCTAATCCACTCGTCCGACAGCTTTTAAAATTATTCCAGTGGCAGGTCATTATATTGTTTACAAGCGTAAAAAAAAAACATTTTGGTGAGAATTTTCCAGAAAAAAAGTTATTCGTGATGGAATTCAAGCGTGATTTCTTTGACTAGAAAACCACAATTAGCTATCGTTAGAGCACTCCAGCATTTAAATGTGAATAAATCTTTTGTGTTTCGTACCATCGCTCGTTACCGTGATATTGGTAGCGTAGCCCGACGACAAGGAAGTGGACGGAAGAAAACAGCAACATCAGCAGAAATGGTTCGAAAAGTAAAGAAGCGACTTGATCGAAACCCGCGTCGCAGTGGCCGAAAAATGGCTCGTGATATTCCATTCGGCAAATAGTAAACTGAGCTCAGGGTGAAGCCATTGAAATTCCAAAAAGTGCAGGAACTTACACCGCAACAGAAAGTACATACACTCAAAAGAGCTAAATACCCAACATACCAAAAATACAATACAGCTTGAGAACAATATTATAAAAATATAATTTTTCAACAATGCTTGAGAAACATTTATGTTCCACAAACATTTCTCAAGTCTGTCCCTTGTTGACAAATTAGTTTTGATTTTTTGTGAAAATTGTCAGCAAGAAATTATTTTCTTTGGCAAAAAACAAAATCACGCGAATTTAGGACCCATTTGTGGACCGAACCCTTAAGGTATGGATGAATAATAAATCCGGGAATCTTTCACATAAATTATTCCAATCCCATTTCAGATTGGAAGCATCAAAAAAGTTGCAGGAATTCAATAAATGTGTAGTCTTAGTGGAAGAGATGCAGAAGTTCAAATAAGGGAGAAGAAAACGTCAGGGTATCAAGGCCACATGCGGCAGTGACTACTGGGATGTCCATCAAGAAAAAACGTTAAAAATGATTAAAAACTAAAAAAAAATAATATTTTATACTATTACAAAAATAAGCTTATTATAATATTATTTTTGTAAGCTTATTCTACAATTTCAAGTATAAGCTTATAAATAAGGGTTCCGTTTCGATTATTCTATACTTGTTATACAAACATTTTTCAATGTTTTCTCAAGATTTTCTCAAGCTTAAGGCTTATGTTCATAAGCTTACCCAACATACCAAAATGGCTTGAGAATAATATTACAATAAGCTTATGAACATAAGCCTTAAGCTTGAGAAAATCTTGAGAAAACATTGAAAAATGTTTGTATAACAAGTATAGAATAATCGAAACGGAACCCTTATTTATAAGCTTATACTTGAAATTGTAGAATAAGCTTACAAAAATAATATTATAATAAGCTTATTTTTGTAATAGTATAAAATATTATTTTTTTTTAGTTTTTAATCATTTTTAACGTTTTTTCTTGATGGACATCCCAGTAGTCACTGCCGCATGTGGCCTTGATACCCTGACGTTTTCTTCTCCCTTATTTGAACTTCTGCATCTCTTCCACTAAGACTACACATTTATTGAATTCCTGCAACTTTTTTGATGCTTCCAATCTGAAATGGGATTGGAATAATTTATGTGAAAGATTCCCGGATTTATTATTCATCCATACCTTAAGGGTTCGGTCCACAAATGGGTCCTAAATTCGCGTGATTTTGTTTTTTGCCAAAGAAAATAATTTCTTGCTGACAATTTTCACAAAAAATCAAAACTAATTTGTCAACAAGGGACAGACTTGAGAAATGTTTGTGGAACATAAATGTTTCTCAAGCATTGTTGAAAAATTATATTTTTATAATATTGTTCTCAAGCTGTATTGTATTTTTGGTATGTTGGGTATTGTAATATTATTCTCAAGCCATTTTGGTATGTTGGGTAGTTGCTTCGCTTGGCCGAAAGTGGTGAACTGCCGAATTTGGGTTTCTCCAATGAGTAAATATTCGTTGCAGCAGCAAAATGATCGTGTTTACTTCCCAAAGAGGTCAGCTGAAATGTGCACCTTCGGTTGGCAACCAGAACTCAAGCGCCGGCCATGGTGATGGTGTGGGCCGCCATAACAGCCGATGGTCGCCCTCCGCTCGTGTTAATCGACCGTGGCATCAGAATAAATGCCGAATATTATCGCGAAAATATTCTGAAGGGTATATACAGCCTTGGTTACGCAAACAGACCTTGGACATTCCAACAGGACTCAGCACAATCGTACTCATCACGAGCCACCAAAGAATGGTTACAAAACGAGGTTCCTCGCTTCATTTCCAGCGCACAATGGCCACCAAAATCACCGGATACCAATCCGTTGAACTATTGTGTTTGGAGTATTTGGGAAAGCAAGGTTGGCACTAAAAAATACCAAAGTGTGGATCACCTCAAACAAACGCTTCGCCGGGAATGGGCCCAGATACCGCAGATCAACATTCGGGCAGCTTGTGACGGTTTCATTGGCCGTTTGAAGGCCATAATTTGTGCCAAGGTGAACAGTTGGAACAAATCAAAACTTAGATGCTATTTCCGACATTTGTTGCTATCATTCAATAAAATTAAAAAAAAATGTAAAAATTATAGCGTTTGACTTTGTTGCAGTTTTTTTTATCTCACCCTGTATATAACAAAAATTTTCGTCTGTTCGGATTAATACTTTTGCCACAAAAAAGTACGGTAACGGAGCTTGGATATTGTTCCAAGAATAAAAATTGACAGATGTCTGGCACGCTCAGAAAAAAATTTAACCAGCTGGTAGCTTCTCCTTATCGTAGAATAAACATGCAACTACGGCAGGATTCGAGTGCTCCTCTGACATTCCATTTGAATATCCTAATGAATATGAAACTTCGCATTGTCACATGACATTTTATTGTCAAGTTTTAAGGGACTATGATAACGATTTTGACATTCCTTAACAATTAGCGCCCATACTGCTATTCCCACTGTGACAATTTTAGAGGAATGTAAACGTAGTTCCATTGTACAAAAAGGAGGTAACACTGGTTTGTTACTTTATTGAAATAAAAATAAATTGCTATCGAAAAACAAGAAATTATCTAGAAAATTATTGCTAACTCGTGTTTCAACATAGCGAGAATTCAAAATTAAAAAAACTACCTTAAAATCTAAACTCATCTTAGTTATAGGTGTGGGCCGTGACATTTTATACATTGTTGTGTTCAGTATGAAACATCAATAACCTTCTTTGAATTTCAAAGAAGAATCAATTCGTTTTTTATTGGAAAATTGTATTCATGCGTAACACAATAATAAATCTGAAGTAATTTTCCGAAAGCTTCTCATGTTTATTTCCTCCCTAAAGAATTCAAATGCGATGAGCAATTGATTTTTATTTCAAATTTTAATTTCTCTACTGAGGCGTAAAGTCGTTCTTAGTGTTTAGTTTCCGTGACGAATTGCCGAGACAGCAATTTAAATGGGTTTAACTGAAATTAAAAGCGTGTATAGTTGGAGATTTGATATGGTTTAAAAGCAGAAACATAATGTGGGACTTTTGGTAATTTATCGGCATTTCTAATAAAAATGCCTCGGCAGTAGTTAATGGAAATTAAACTCATGGTAGAATTAAGATGATAAATCCATTTCAAATAAGCATTTTCATCTCTGCACTTTCTGTGATTTACCTTGTTAATCTCATGCAATCATACGATTACAAATTTTTTATTTGAAGTCCATAAATTGTCAATTTTATATTTTGTAGTTCTTCCTTAAATATTGGCGCACAGCTGGAAAAAATACACTTATTTTCCATCAGCTATTTTGTAATTTTCACCCTTTTTAGAGGACATAAAAGTCGAGGAAAAATATAATCTAGAACAGAAAGTAAAATATTAGTCGGATTAGTCATAAAAGACTTGATGATGGAATGGTTAAACTTTCTTCAGATTGGACAAATATGAAGACGAATTCTTGCCTTGTTGGCTATAGAAAACCCAGTAGGTTTAAATTGTCAATTCCATTTCATATACCTCAAATAAATCTTCATGGAGAAGGTTAACCCGGAAAAAAGCTCTAACGTAAACATGACATAATACTGATATAAAACTGTCATCAACCTTTTTCGGTTTAATTGGTATTAAATTCGTTACAAGAAATTGTCAGCGTAAGTTTTTGTTTTAGTACAGAATCCATATAGCAGGTATAGTGAAGATTTTGACAACATTCAACTGGTATATCTGGGATTTTGGGCCTTAAAGACTGACTTAAACTTCACCGTCATTCGAGGGCAACACAAGAACTAACATCATTTTCATATGTTTACGCCCAAGAAATGATAAATAAATCTGGACTTCCTAATATATGGAAGGTATAAAAGATTTTACGTGCCGAAGAAAGCCGAAAATAAAAACTTATTTATTATTTTTGTAAAACCTGTCACTCGTCAAACATAAATATTTCAGAAATTAAAAAAATTATTT